TCTCCTTTGTTCATTTCTCGCTTTGATTGTTAAAATTCACACTTGTAAATTTCACTGTTGTTGCTCTTAGTGTTATTTCTCTAACTTAGATTTTCTATAATAGTTCAATTTTTGTTTCAGTGTCCTTTAGTACAACGATGATTCCTGATGAGTGTTGTACGAAAACTTGTTTGAATCCCTTTCTTTCTCTACACAATTTCTTCACATTTTTCATCGTTTTATTGCACATTGTCTCCACAGTTTTACAATACATGAATACAGTGTACACAAATGTCGATCCAGCTTGTATTACTGATTGCGGTTATCAAATTGTTGTCTCCTCGCCGTTTGTTCAAATTATTATTATTATTATTATTATTGTCAGTCAAGTGTCAAGTAAAGTCGGCGGAATAGCGCGAGCTCCGGTGTGGGGAGCAAACCCTTTCTTACAAATCATCGCCGAAGTCGCAACCACTACTTCGTACTGTTGTGCCCAGCGCGGGCTTGCGACTAGTTGGTTTGGAGGTGACAGCGTTGCGAATGACCGAGGGTCCTCAACGTCTGGTCTCACCGTCCAGGAGCGACACTGACTCACGCTGCTATCTGGTGTTCACGAGGTGTTTATCGCGCTGGAAGCGGAGCGTCTCTGTAAGTTTGTATCCCTGGTGATGTTTGTACCTGGAGAGCACTATATAAGTGGTGCTCTTCGGGCACAATCTTCCTCAGCCTACTCAAGCTCAACTGATGAGGGGTGAATTCCCCGAAACACTGTGTATTGAGCAGGGAGTGGTGCTTTCTTGCAGGTTTGCCGAGTCGAAGGTTCGATGGACTTCTCGTGTGCTCTGGATGGCAGTCGTGAGTCAGTCAAGTGTCAAGTAAAGTCGGCGGAATAGCGCGAGCTCCGGTGTGGGGAGCAAACCCTTTATTATTATTATTATTATCAAATTTTGATAGGGCTATAGGATAGGGCTATAGGAAGCATAGCCACTGGACTTGTCTTACCATAGCAAGTCTAAATAAGTTGATATTTCCTGAAACACTCTTACAATGCCAATCTAGCCTTGGTTGCCATGACAACACTGTGTAAATAGTGTCTGGGCCATTACTCATAAGTCAATGTAGCACCACCAAAACGAAAAAAAAATGAAACGTGCGAATGCAATACATGTACATGATACCAAGAGTAGATAAACATATACTCTTGATGATACTGATAGCTCTTGTGACGTCTTGTCTTACTCTACATGTATCATTTGCACCTGTCAAACCTTGGGCTTGGTACATGTACACCCCAAAATAAATGGGAACGAAAAATCATTTTCAGCTTTGGACCTGTGGACTATGACGTTTCCTGGGACCGGCGCTGACTCTGCAGCAGATCTGCCGATCGCGATCGCGATCACGGGCGTTCTTTGGAGTCGACGGGATCTCTCTTCCGACGTTCCTGTGACCATGGTGACCGGCGCTGACTCGCCCGTTCACGCTTATTTTGGAGACGACGGGATCTCTCTTCCAAAGTATGTTTTTGCTGACGCATCCTATCACCTATTCGGCAACTAACGTCCATTCTAATTGCATTTCCTCCTCGTCTCCCTATTTCTTTCCAGAAAGTCTCCCTACGGCTCGTATACACCAGGAAGTCGTATACATAATACCAAGAGTAGTTTATCTACTCTTGATAATACGACGAATATTGTGGCCAGCTAGCTGTGTTTGATGGTACGGTACGGTACGGGACAGAACTGGAAGCCAGCTGTTTGTGGCCAGCTGTGTTTGATGGTACGGTACGGGACATATACGGGATAGCGCCAGGCGTGACACAAACAAACAAATACCAAATTAAAGCTGTGTGGACCCTGGCTAGCACCAGACGTTACTGAAGACGTTACTGCAGCTGGCCACAAAGATTTGAAGAGGTACGTTCAAGATGTAAACTTGGCGTTACGTTTATGTTGTTTTTTCTGGTGTTGTTGTATGATTCTGTTCCACTGGGTTGTTTTATTCGGCCCTTCTGTGCGCTACTTGAAGGATGGGTCAAGTGACATGCTCTTGACTGTAGGCTCCGGCGGGTCTGGGGCTCTGGGCCACGCGTCGTTTGTATGAGCATTGCCACCTTGCTCCCAACCGCACGTGCTGGTGGTTGTCTTCATGTCAGTGGCAATCACCATGTGCTACTGGCGTGTGTGTGTGTGTGTGTGTGTGCGTGTGTGTGTGCGTGTGTGTGCGTGTGTGTGTGTATGTGTGTGTGTGTTTTGGTTCACTGGTATCAATACGTACTATTCATGTGTTTCTGTTGTATTGTCTGCCAATGTAGGAGCTGAGGAGGTGGGACGAGGATGAGTACGAACCCGGTACCCACACACTGCCTCCGGAGCGTGTCCAGCAGATGCTAGAGGAGTTCAAAGGGAGCTGCTGTAACCGCCCGCAACTTGAAGCCCTGCTGACATCGGATTCGACAAAGGACACGGAGGAGTATCGCCGCTCCATGGCCGCCATTATTGAAAAGTTCCGGTTTGAGAAATCCGACGGTGAAGAGGAACCGGAGGAGTTGGAGATGATGACTGTACGAGCCAAGCCACAGTTTGATGTCATGTCCATTCGAAGTGAGTCCGTAATACTGTCTTGTGACTTTGTGAGGCATTTTGGATGCATCCCAGGCTTGTGCTCTTGAAGAGTTGAAGTTCAGCATGCTGATACATGTACATGTGCTGTTGTCACCGAAGGATGTACCCAGAGTGCTGACAGTGCTCAACACCACAAAGGCAGAGCGTAATACACAACAGAACAACAAGATATATGTGGCATCCATAACGTCAGGCCCCACCAAGAAGGAATACACCGGTATGTCGGCGCCACCGTTCAAGTCACGCCATGCCAACCGCATGACAACAACAAGATACGAGAAGTACTCCAGCAGCACTGAGTTCTCCAACTACATCCCAGTAAATGGCCGACTACATTGATGAGCGTCTGAACTTCGACCTGGTCTCCCTAGATTTCTGCAAGGCATTTGACAGAGTAAGCCACTCAACTCTCCTCCGTCAAGTCAGCAAATTCTCGGACCATAAAGTCACTGCCTGGACTAAAAGTTATTTGCAGGATCGAAGCATAGCCGGGAAGATTGAGTCATGCATGTCAGTGCCCAAAGTCACCAACTGTGGTGTTCCCCAGGGATCGCATCTGTCACCTCTACTGTTCGTGATCTACATTAATGACCTACCAGAAGCCATACATCACTCGCACACCTTCTTGTTTGCGGATGATGTCACTCTACTTTTGCCGTACAAAGGCAAAAGCCAGTCCTGGTATCCAAGCAGACATTCATGCATGCCAAAACTGGGCCAGGGAAAGAGGCGGAGAGTTTCCACCCTCAAAAACTAATGTTTTAAGCTTCCGTTATAAGCCAGCGGCAGCATCGTCACCAGCACCAACATCTGCCACCTACACTGTGGAGGGTCTACCTCTTCCCAGTATTGACATCCTCAAACATCTGGGAGTTCGCTTCAGTGCAGACCTAAACTTCCGTCAACACTACCTTGACATCAGTCGCAAATTCAAGCAAAGAGTAAGCCTACTTTGTCACATGGCACATCGTCTTACACCGCAGGCCATGATGCTCCTCTACAAGTGCTATGTTAGACCTGTGATTGAGTATAGCGTCGTAGTGTGGTCCTTTCGTCTTCGTTCAAGCGACTTGACTGAGCTGGATAGAGTCCAGGCCAGGTTTGCAAGATCCTACCTTAGGAAACGCAAAATCCGAATCGACTTTAATACACCCAAGCAGGATCTTAATAAAAAGCTAACATTGAATCCCTTCTTTACCGCAGGCAGTTTTTTACTTAAAAGTATGCTTAGTTACCGGTACCATGCACAAATTTATTTTCAAGTATCGACGTTGCCTAGCTTCATTCCATTTCAATATCACGCAGAGTGCGAGACGCCCAAACAAAATTATTCTCCCTAAAGCAAAGACCACATCAAAATCGTTGTTTCTCTTCCAAGCCTCCCTCTTATGGAACTGCCTCCCACCAAGACTAACTGCAGAACCATCCATTATTGTTTTCAAGAATGAGCTTCGCAAACTCGCTTGCAAACATAGTGCTTCGCTCTCCGGTATGCCTACGCCATGTACATAATCCCCCCCCCCCCCTGTGTGCTCCCCAACGCATTCACGCTGCACAAGTTTCCACTTTTTTTTCTTCTTTTTTTCTTTTTTTTTGACATATCCGCGGCAAGCCGCTTATGTACAACGGCATGGGAGAGGATAACAAAAAATGAAAATATAATATTCGACCCTAAACTCATTGTTTAGCCCAAACCGTTGTGCAGACTGTTGTTGAGGATCCGAGGAGGAACCTCCATCCATGGCCGTCACCCCATGGTCCCATTTTCCACTACTTTCACTTTAGCTCATACATGTACATGTACATCCTTCAAAGCGGTGAACCCCTTGATAGGCGACAAGCCTCTGGGTCATCCTAATAAAGAAATTTTTATTTTTATTATCTGGAACCTGAAGAAATCCAACGCCCAATATGAAGTCGAATGGAGGATAAAAGATCGCGCCCGGGCATACTCCAACACCACGAAGCGGTGCTCTCTCTGTACCAGAGAAAAGTATCACATCCTCAACACGCTAGGGTCACCATCCAGCCTCAACAAGTGCTCTGAAATGGTGTCCAAGTGCCGACACGAGAACAAGACTTAGTATCTCCTAAAAAACCACGGTGTCACCTAAACATGTCTCCACAGCCTCCTGCCCACACAATTCACGTTCACACACCTTGCTCATAACACCCTGCCCACACCAGCTATTTACACTGCGCTAATGTCACCCTGCCAGCTCTACAGCCTCCTGCCTACAACATCCACACGCATTGCTCACCACCTCCTGCACACACCAGCCACACACTCCGCGCTAACACTGCACTGCTAGCCCCTGCCTTCAACAACCACATGCACACACTCTGCACACAGCTAGCCCCCTGCCTAAAATACCACCGCTAGCCCCCACAGTCTCACACAGCTTTTTATAACACCCTCTCCTGGCATATTTATACCGGCATGGTCGGCACCCGATCTTCATGTTGCCTGATGATTGCATGAAACTTAAGTAGCAGCAAACAAGCCTTGATTGTCCTTGTTGTTCTGTTGTGTGCTGCTGTCACAAAGGATGCGCCCAGTGTGCTGAACGTGCTCAGATTCAGCAAGGGCAGAACGTTGCTCTGCTGTCCTACTGTGGACTGCGGCATCACACAGATTTAAAACTGCTGCTGCTGCTGGCAGTGCTGCTGCTTCGTTGTTGTCTGTTCCGTAGGTACTTCCACGTGACGGCGTAACATGCCAGCCATTATTCCAAATCCGGTAAAAGAGAAGAAGAAGAAGAAGAAAGGCTCCCAGTCAGCACAGGCCGGAGGAAGTACCACTGTAAGCTGTCACCACCCTTCTTTGGCCGTGTGCGCGGCTCTGCACTTTGTGTGCATTGAGCACTATTGCATCGACAGTGCCTGTGTAAAACTGTAAGGAAATATGTGTGCTAGAGAGGGGAGGACCTGTCTTATTAGAGCACTTGGAAATTCTCTGAACACACTCATTTAGTCAAGCTGGTCCTCGGTAGTTAATGCAGAACTTTGCCCACTCAAAGTCTTGAGCATTGCCACATTTTCATGCGTATCCATTTTTCTTGCTGTGAAAGGCGGCGGCGTCCCGTTATATTTCTGTTATATTCAGTGGTGTCTCTGTTCCATTTGTTTTGTCGCTACAGGATGTTGCTGCGGCGGCGGCTGCACCCAAGCCGGTCGTTTTGGGCAAGAAGACTGGACTGCCAGCAGGCATACTACACGAGAAGCCCAAGAAACCTGTAGAGATGGACGAGGACGTGGAAGGTAGGTGGGCTCCGTGGGCGGCTACCGGTGCGCGACCAAGCTGCATTGCAGTCAGATCACGCCTCGCGTAGCCTAGACCGTTCTTATTGTACAGTTGAACGGAACACTGAATTGAAGGAAGTATGTACCGTATTTCCGCGCATATAAAGCCATGGCCTTATATCCGAATATAAGGCCACCACCCTCACTTATAAAGCCATGGCGTTATAAGTGAACAAAATTCAATAAGGAGGAAGTTGGATCCGGCGTTAAGGTGGCAGACTACCCAAAAATTCGCTGAAAAATCGAATTTGTAAATTCATATTGAGTGCAACGTCAGTTGAAAGAGCATGAATAGCTGCAAATTCTCTGAAAATTGTGTCCCGATATGACCAGCCGTTCAAGAGTTATGGCCGAAAATGTGCCCTTGCAAGGAAAGATTTTTTTGTTGCACGCTGTCATTTGTTGGCAGCACTGTATTTGAATGTGAGCAGACCGTGCGCAACTAACTTGTCGTATCATGGAGATGCACGAAAGTGTACAGAATTTTGCTCCAAGTCCAAAAAATCACGTGTAAGCGTCTCTCACTTTTAGCGCCATGGCGTTAAAACCGAGGCTATTTTCTCCAAAAATTTGGTCCAAAACAGCGATGTTTCACCTATAACGCCATGGCTTTGTATGCGCGGAAATACGGTAATTAGTTCTGACATAGTCATTCGCTCGTCGCCTCTCCGGGTTTACATGTAGATCCACTTGTTGGTTTGACTGAGGCGAGTGCGGAATGTCACGCACTTTCTTTCGTTTGTCTCCCAAGAGTCAAGACGAAGCCTCATGAAGTCCGCTGCTTGTTGGTAGCTGACAAGACCGTGAGAAAAGGCGGTGCTGATTGTGATCAAGTCAAGACGACGAAATAGTTGATAATTGTAATCATTTGAAAATAATTTGAGGTGCTTTGTTCGTCTGACACCAACAAAATATGCTGCGTGGAGGCGATTTATTCCCGGTACAAATCAAAGACTACAATGAAGAATTTTCAGACACTGACGTGACGTCCGTCCTATGGCTTAGTCTAATGTTGTAAGAGTACTAGTACCCGAAATAAGATGGATTGTTTGTGATCGTGTGGAACAAATTTGACAAAACCAGTAAAGCGTGAATGCCACATGTAGAACAAATGACATTGAGTTAGTAGTAGGCTAACTGCTGCAACGGTTTGTCTTTCAGGTCTATGAAAGAAGGAAATTTCCAAATACTGTACTAGAATCCAATTTTGCAGTGAACGGCGATGCTCATTTACTATGCATCTTTGTCATTTCGTGCAATGTTTCTATGACAACTCGTGTGCTGGACGAGCATTTTTGTTGTGATTGGTTCAACTCTTCATAGGCTATCGGATTATTTTCCTTATCCGGTCTATTTATGACCAGTATCACCAGTATCTGTATGCGAGTGTGGTCTGTCTCTATGGTTACCTGTGTTCGGCACATAGCCCTTTCCCAAAGGTGCTCCTTCGCACTTACATGTACAAATACAGTAGTGCTTTTCGCGTCCCTCAAAATATGCTGAAAAAATGCTCTTTTTTCAGTGAAAACAGGCAAAAAGTGCTCTTTTTCAGTGAAGCCGCGCATGCCAATGATACATGTTCAGATATGAACCCAAGCTGAGAAATGAATTCGCATTCTTCCATTTATGGGTCCACGAAAGGCAAAACAGGAAGTAAAGTTCAAAAAACCCACTTTTTACAGCATTGTGTACACCAACTTGTTGCCGCCCCCCCCCCCCCAAAAAGCGGCGTGCCAAGGCCCATCGAGCACTCGGAAACTGTGATTATTATTACAAGTATTATTAATTCAACATCTCCTGGCTCGTCAGAAGACTGCCAATATATATGAGAAGTCGGGTGGTAGCCAACCACGGCGAACTGAATAATACTAATAAGGAGAGAAACAAAGATCGCATGCATGAGCAAACAGATTTTAGCACTTTTTCAGCTCAAAAAGCTCAAAAAGGGCGATATTCACCAAAAAACACAATAAAGGGCGAAATAAACGGGCTTTTCCAAAAAGGACCAAAAAGGGCGGAAAAAAGGGCGAGCACCTTTGGGAAAGGGCTATCGGCACATCCGGTTCATGTAGTAAGTTGCAAATTAAGATGCTCTTGTTTGTTGCTGATAGAAAGATTGCCACTTCCCTAGTTTTGTTTCACCAATATGCTTTTCTTTTGACAACTACATGTATAGCCACTTCCCCATTTTAGACCTTATCTGTAAGGCCCATTCTTGCATAATTATTCAAACAGCAGCCAATGGAGCTAGCTCTCTTGGTTATGCTGGTAGAAGGACTGGGTCCGACCCACCGTCCGAGGGGATCCACAGGATTTCCTGCGGATATGAGATCCCCTCATTTGAGGGGATCATGAGCCATAAGCCATAATCCCTCAAACGAGGGGAGATACCTGAAAAGGGTGGTCTATACATTGGTATGCTGTGCTTGGTGAATTCTAGGCTGTTCGTTCTTCGGCGCTCCGACGGCTCCGTTCTCCGGCGCCCGATGGTACTGTTGTGCTTAGCGTACTTCTGCTTGATCACCTACGTAGCTACGAGTACCTGTGCTGACGTTATTTTTATTAACATGCCTGCGTTGCGGTCCCCTCTGTGTTGTTTCCTCAGCGCCACCGCCATTGTGTTGTAAGCGGCGGAGAGACGAGACGCGGGAGGAGAAGAAGCTGCGCAAGCAGGCGATCAAAGAGCACCGACGGGTAAGTGCTGCCTCAGCCTGAGTTCAGTCAGAGCATGTGATTCACTGGCTGTTAGTCAGGCATGTTGTGCTGTGCTGTAGTGTGGCCTGCTACTGTTGGTCAGGCATGTTGTGCTGTAGGACTGTAACCCAATGCTTTTGTTTTGAAAATAGGATTTACTATGCTTCATCATGGATGCGGTCCAACCAGCTTTCATGTCATGATTGTGTATAGACGTTGAAACCAAAAAAATACGATTAAAGGGGAAGTTAAGGCAAAAATTAAAATTTCACCAGTTGTAGTCTTCGGGGTGCTGAGTCGAATGGTCTTGGTCCGAGAAAGCTGAGACGCTCCCTTCCTACTTGAATCCCAATCGAACTCGCGCACTTCCACCGAAACTGGGTGACTGCGCCCTACTAGATGGGGATTTGTATGCAAAATGTCACTAAAAGCGCCGTTTCGTTCTTATAAAAGCACGGATGACCGCGATTGGCCCATATGTTATAGTCTTTTGGTCGCTGAGTTGACTGGTTTTGGTCCGAAAAGGCTGCGATGCAGCGTTCGCCCCTAATTCCCAATCGAACATGTTCGAACAAGCGGTCACGTGCTCCTGCGTACACCAGTCACCTGGTCACCGTGCCTGCAGGGTACAACTTACAGCCTGTTTTGACCTTTTTTGGGTGCAGTCCTGTCACTCGAGTTGAACCTTGGTGTGAAAGTTGTCGCCTGCTGGCGTGGTGACCAGGTGATTTTGGCACCCAGGAGCACGTGACCGCTTCTTCAACCATGTTCGATTGGGAATAAAGGAGGAACGCTGCATCGCAGCCTTTTCGGACCAAAACCAGTCGACTCAGCGTCCAAAAGAGTACAACATATGGGCCAATGGCGGTCATCCGTGCTTTTATAAGAACGAAATGGCGCTTTTAGTGACATTTTGCATACAAATCCCCATCTCGTAGGGCGCAGTCACCCAGTTTCGGTGGAAGTGCGCGAGTTCGATTGGGATTCAAGTAGGAAGGGAGCGTCTCAGCTTTCTCGGACCAAGACCATTCGACTCAGCACCCCGAAGACTACAACTGGTGAAATTTTAATTTTTGCCTTAACTTCCCCTTTAAGCGTCAACGGACATGTTAGTAACATTGCCACCCACGCTATGGCTGCACTGTTACAAGAAGTGGAGGACATGTGCAGTGTCGACTGACCCATGCGTGTAGCTGAACGGTTTGTAGGTTGCTCGCAGCCCACCCCGCTTGCCAGGCGATGTTGGTTTTGGCCACCAATCCAAAGTTATGCGCTATGGTACGCAATGGATGGGGCACACAACACTTCAGCATATCATGCACCGCTAATCGTGGAGTAATTACTGCAATGCCATGGTTTCATTGCAAGTTCCGAGACATTTCCAGGCTTATGCCGTTTGGCGTTGCCCCGAGACCTCTTCTGACTGGTGTGCCCAGAAGAAGGGACGTGCCCAGCGCTCTACTTTCTGGCATAGGCCCAGACTCTCATCATTCTTTTGTTTTCACCAAGATCAACGGGGTTGTGTCCAAGCTGCAACCAGGCCTAGCATTGTCGTGTCCTAAACAAGGTGGATAAATAGTTTTCTCTCTTTTAATTTTAACGTCAACCAAGTGTTCACCATTGCCATCGATTGCATTACTAGGAATGCAAGTGCACTGGTAGACAAACAGCAGCACCAGGTGAGCATTTTCTGTATTTGTGTATTGTGGCTGTGTCTCTTGCCGCAATGTGCCTCAGGATCGGCGAGTGGAGAAAAAGGCCAACAAGCAGCGCTTCGTACACAAGCACCAGGCCGAGTCTGTTGCATCGAAGGCCGTGGAAGGGATTCGAATGTAACCAAAGCCTGTGCTGCTTCTTACCCCTGCCACATACACACGCCCTATGCAGGTTTGTACTCTGCTCCATATATTCTTTGTACATAGTGTAGATGGTTGCGTTGTTGTCCTTGTGTTGTCATTATGTTATACTGTCTATAGTTGTGATGAAGTCTTTGTACAGCTGCTCTTTGGTGATTTACCCCTGTTCATCACCACACTCTCTCCTTGAATCTCTGTCTATTCTATACTATAGCTCTCGCATTCCCTGTATATACCCCTGTATATTGCTTTAGAAAATGTACATACTGCTCAGCCAGCTCCATGTACTTAGCTGCTCTTTCCAGAATCTCTGTTCCTATTTTTGTACGTCTTTTTAACCCGTTGTCTGTCTGGAGCCATAAAAATTAACACTTACAGTACAGTCAAGTATAGTCCATCAGCCAGTGGTGCCAAAGTGAGTCCCCCGTTGCACTTACAAATCGAACACCTGGAACTGACATCAATCGACAGCAAAAGCATCACTGAATCCGACCTGCCTACTTTCCCTGGCGAAACTCTTGCACTCCTTTTGCAGTGCGCCTTGGAAGTTCGACAAATTTCTTCTTCTTCATCAGCCATTACGAGGTTTTCCATCCGTTTTATCAGGACATCCAATGCGTCTTCAGTGAAAAACGTGGAGTTTTGTCAACGTTTGGCGTGGTTTTCCGTGGCCATCGACCTAAAATCGCGAAATAAATCGCCGTCGATTTGAGCAGAGGTGAGTTGGCTTGGAGCACGTACAGATTCAAAAAATATGTGTACATGCGCACCGGGAAGAAGATGAAGATGCTCACCATTTTCAAATAACTAATTCAAAAAACTACATGACTATTGTACTGCGATTGTTGTAGCTACTTGTTTGCAACTACAATGGTATCAAGAAGATAATCAAGCGAGGTACACAGGGATTGATGGCTGATCAAAGCCCAAGGGACCAGCCCGAGGGCTTTGATCAGTCATCAAGCCCGACTGTACCTTGCTTGAATATGCTTCAGACGATCCCCAACAATTTTTTGGATTTTGAATTCAATCGCTTTTTTCTTTGGGTGATCTCGAGTGTGGTAGATAGTACTTCGAAGTAGTACAACTGTAACTGTACTACTACCTGGTTGCAACATGTTCAAAGCAGCCTTGCCTTTATTTCAACTGTTTGCTGTCAGCATCCAGAGCCATGGCGTTTGCTAGTTGGTCGTAATGGAGAAGAGAACTGCAGGGCATTCACTCGATGTACAACATCCATCGCCGCAGATTCCTTACTTTTAGCTCACCACGTTCCTTATTTTTGCAGGGATCAGGACCTTCCCGGGGTGATTCCATTCAGGGTGGAAGCGTAGATCACTTTTGCCAAACAGTAAAAACTACGCTTCAAACCTGCTTGACATGACTCGGGGTGCATACTTCGGAAACCCGAAGGTGGATGATGTTCAATACTAGCTCATTGTAATCTTCCTGAAGGTATGTATTCGGATGCTCAATTAAATAGAACAGTGAAAGAGATGTGTAATGGAACAACACTCTACAAGTAGGCGAACAACAATTTTATTGTAATTTGAATCCAGGCACACGTGTAATACGGAAACTGCAATGGTTTACACTGCAAATCTTCTCGATTTGAAAGATTTTTCCCGTAATTCACAAAAATCTGAAAGTTCATTCCTGAAACGCGCATGGCACTGATTGAAGATTGGGTTTAGGTCACAACAATGGCTGTCCATGAAATGCCAAAAATGGTCACTTTGTCGGCTTCCCCCTGCAGAGCGTGCAAGTCGTTTACTCTTTTTATTTGCGGATTCGGTGTACAGGGTACCTAAACTCCCCATTGAGGCCAAAATCAAGTATTCGATTTCTAAGTGCAACAGGGTGCTTGAATTTGACGACTTCTGAGTTCTTGGCTGATGGACTATAAGCCAGTTTTGTAACCGAACTAAGTTACTTTTTCGTTCCCTTCTCATCATGGGAATAATGGAAATACGAAAGCAACTTATAGAGCTACAGCAAAAGCATAGATCGAAAACCTCACGCTCTACGTGGGGGAAAAAAATAAAAATCAGCAGAACTTGTCAAAAACAGGGTGAGCGTGAAAAAATGACTAAAACATGATGAAATCATCAGCGAGGAGAAGCATTCCTGACACTTCCTGACTATGTGCACTTCCTTCCTGACCATGTGTTCAGAAGGAAAATGTTTTGTCACTTCAGTTGTTTTGGCGCTAATCCTCGTGAAAGTGTAAGGAATGCTTCTCCTCGCTGATGTTTTCATCATGTTTTATAGTCCATCAGCCAAGAACTCAGAAGTCGTCAAATTCAAGCACCCTGTTGCACTTAGAAATCGAATACTTGATTTTGGCCTCAATGGGGAGTTTAGGTACCCTGTACACCGAATCCGCAAATAAAAAGAGTAAACGACTTGCACGCTCTGCAGGGGGAAGCCGACAAAGTGACCATTTTTGGCATTTCATGGACAGCCATTGTTGTGACCTAAACCCAATCTTCAATCAGTGCCATGCGCGTTTCAGGAATGAACTTTCAGATTTTTGTGAATTACGGGAAAAATCTTTCAAATCGAGAAGATTTGCAGTGTAAACCATTGCAGTTTCCGTATTACACGTGTGCCTGGATTCAAATTACAATAAAATTGTTGTTCGCCTACTTGTAGAGTGTTGTTCCATTACACATCTCTTTCACTGTTCTATTTAATTGAGCATCCGAATACATACCTTCAGGAAGATTACAATGAGCTAGTATTGAACATCATCCACCTTCGGGTTTCCGAAGTATGCACCCCGAGTCATGTCAAGCAGGTTTGAAGCGTAGTTTTTACTGTTTGGCAAAAGTGATCTACGCTTCCACCCTGAATGGAATCACCCCGGGAAGGTCCTGATCCCTGCAAAAATAAGGAACGTGGAGAGCTAAAAGTAAAGGAATCTGCGGCGATGGATGTTGTACATCGAGTGAATGCCCTGCAGTTCTCTTCTCCATTACGACCAACTAGCAAACGCCATGGCTCTGGATGCTGACAGCAAACAGTTGAAATAAAGGCAAGGCTGCTTTGAACATGTAGCAACCAGGTAGTAGTACAGTTACAGTTGTACTACTTCGAAGTACTATCTACCACACTCGAGATCACCCAAAGAAAAAAGCGATTGAATTCAAAATCCAAAAAATTGTTGGGGATCGTCTGAAGCATATTCAAGCAAGGTACAGTCGGGCTTGATGACTGATCAAAGCCCTCGGGCTGGTCCCTTGGGCTTTGATCAGCCATCAATCCCTGTGTACCTCGCTTGATTATCTACTTGATACCATTGTAGTTGCAAACAAGTAGCTACAACAATCGCAGTACAATAGTCATGTAGTTTTTTGAATTAGTTATTTGAAAATGGTGAGCATCTTCATCTTCTTCCCGGTGCGCATGTACACATATTTTTGAATCTGTACGTGCTCCAAGCCAACTCACCTCTGCTCAAATCGACGGCGATTTATTTCGCGATTTTAGGTCGATGGCCACGGAAAACCACGCCAAACGTTGACAAAACTCCACGTTTTTCACTGAAGACGCATTGGATGTCCTGATAAAACGGATGGAAAACCTCGTAATGGCTGATGAAGAAGAAGAAATTTGTCGAACTTCCAAGGCGCACTGCAAAAGGAGTGCAAGAGTTTCGCCAGGGAAAGTAGGCAGGTCGGATTCAGTGATGCTTTTGCTGTCGATTGATGTCAGTTCCAGGTGTTCGATTTGTAAGTGCAACGGGGGACTCACTTTGGCACCACTGGCTGATGGACTATTAGTCATTTTTTCACCTTCACCCTGTTTTTGACAAGTTCTGCTGAATTTTAGTTTTTCCTATACGTATAGCGTGAGGTTTTCGATCTATGCTTTTGCTGTAGCTCTATAAGTTGCTGTATTTTGACATTTTTCCATTATTCCCTGTACTTACCCATGATGAGAAGGGAACGAAAACGTTCGGTTACAAAACTGGCTTACTTGACTGTGTGGATTGCGTCGGTGCTGGCACCTTTTCTTTCGAAATTGGATACACCTCCAATTTTATCCTTACTTGCAGTACACGTAGTTAAGTACCTTTCAATAACCCGCTGTGGCTAGTTCTTGTTGTTCGCCCGATCCCCCGATGTCAGTCATGGGGTACTGCCAGGTCGTACCCTGCTCAGGGACAAATCGGCGTCAGGCTCTCCATGGATTATCAATATCACTGTATCAGCATGCATGAACTGACTATCAACATGCATGGCCTGACTATCAGCATGCATGGCCTGACTATCAACATGCATGGACTGACTATCAACACGCATGGACTGACTATCAACACGCATGGACTGACTATCAACATGCATGGACTGACTATCAACATGCATGGACTGACTATCAACATGCATGGCCTGACTATCAACATGCATGGACTGACTATCAACATGCATGGACTGACTATCAACATGCATGGACTGACTATCAACATGCATGGACTGACTATCAACATGCATGGACTGACTATCAACATGCATGGACTGACTATCAACATGCATGGACTGACTATCAACATGTATGGACTGACTATCAACACGCATGGACTGACTATCAACATGCATGGACTGACTATCAACATGCATGGACTGACTATCAACATGCATGGACTGACTATCAACATGCATGGACTGACTATCAACATGCATGGACTGACTATCAACATGCATGGACTGACTATCAACATGCATGGACTGACTATCAACATGCATGGACTGACTATCAACATGCATGGACTGACTATCAACATGCATGGACTGACTATCAACATGCATGGACTGACTATCAACATGCATGGACTGACTATCAACATGCATGGACTGACTATCAACATGCATGGACTGACTATCAACATGCATGGACTGACTATCAACATGCATGGACTGACTATCAACATGCATGGACTGACTATCAACATGCATGGACTGACTATCAACATGCATGGACTGACTATCAACATGCATGGACTGACTATCAACATGCATGGACTGACTATCAGCACGCATGGACTGACTATCAACATGCATGGACTGACTATCAACATGCATGGACTGACTATCAACATGCATGGACTGACTATCAACATGCATGGACTGACTATCAACATGCATGGACTGACTATCAACATGCATGGCCTGACTATCAACATGCATGGACTGACTATCAACATGCATGGACTGACTATCAACATGCATGGACTGACTATCAACATGCATGGACTGACTATCAACATGCATGGACTGACTATCAACATGCATGGACTGACTATCAACATGCATGGGCTGACTATCAACATGCATGGGCTGACTATCAACATGCATGGACTGACT